CCCTTGGATTTTTTTTTTTTTTTTTTTTTTGGTACCAGGGATCGAACTCAGGTCCTTGCTCTTGCAAGGAAGGCGGTGGAACCACTGAGCCAAATCCCCAGCCCACTTACTGGCTTTTTATAAAAATGTAAATACCTCAAATAGCTTTATATTCATTTTATAAACAGCTACACACAGCAGTATTAAGTCAATTGTTACCATGAACAATCTAAAATCTACCTAACCATCACAGGCAAAATTATAAGATATGAATAAAACTATTTCAAATGCCAGAAATCAAAGAAATTAAGAAAAAGGAGTAACATGGTTGTTCACTAGCAAGTACCTAACATTCCTCCTAAAATTACTGAGGTAAAAATAGTCAAATGTCAGACTTAAAAAAGGGAGTTACCTGGTTGCTTACTAGCAATTACCATGAACAATCTAAAGCTAAACAATCTAAAGCTACCCTCTCTCCCCAAAATTATAATGTAAGGGTGACTAGCTCAAATGTGGAAAATACTAACAAGGTATGAAGATGCGATATAAAATCTCTTCAGAAGCCAGCCATGGAGAGGCTGGTGAAGCAGAAAAATCAATTTAAAATAAGTGTGCAACATGTTTAGTTAGTTCACATACTGTTTAGTATCAAGAACTGCCAAACTTCAGCCTAACAAGCCAGGATTTAAAAATATATACAAACCTCAATAATCATTTTTTCCGAGTTGTTTCTGAAGAAGGGACTATAAGTCTCTTCTAAGCTGTTAAGCACTTCTGGTTCACATAAATGCCCTGTTTCATATACCCGACTGTTCTGTATATCCAGCTGCTTGGCAGCATGAATACTGCTTTGCTGCTGCTGAAATTGTAACCTGTTTAAATGAGCACTACTCTCTGCATTTCGGCTTGCAGGTGGTCGATAAATTTCAATAGAAGGGCGAGATGAACCATAGGTGAGTGTCACTGTAGGTTTCTTCTGAGATAAAGGATTCTCCTGCACAAAATTGAGGTCTTCATCAATGAGATCATCTGGTTCCGGCTTAATATCGATCACATCTTCAGAGGGTGCTGGCTCCCTCAGAGGCTTCACTGTTGACATTAGTCGGGTTGCAGCTCCATCATCATAAGTCTGTCTACCAAATATGAAAATATTTCACAATCAAATTGATCAATTACCTCCAAATCCTCAAAAAATGACACAGGGACTCACTATGTTCAGGCTAGTCTGATACTACGTAGCCACGGCTGGCCTCAAACTCATGGTGATCCACCTGCCCACCACAGGCTGGGATTACAGGCACCCACCACCACACCCAGCAAATAACGTTTACTTTTAAAATTTTTATGAGCTGATATTCCTGCTGTTTTCCACTGAAATGACTGCTCACTGTAAACCTCTTTGTCAAATGTGCAAAAATAAAGGTATTCCATTACAAAAAATATATGTTATTTTCATGAAAAATACCTCATATTTGTTTTCTGCTCCTGTGAACTTGTAGCAACTCTGGAATCTCTTTTTTCAGGTCTAGTGCTAGAAATAGCAAGGGGAGGCACTGTAGCTTCATGCCTTCTCTCATCTCCCCGACTGAAACTGCTCTTGTTTGAAGGCACATTATTATCAAAGATGTTGGTATCAGAAGACTTTAGACTAGAGGGTTCTAGAAAGAAAAATACATCATCTTTGTAATCTACTTTAATTACTTTAAAACTTTTCCTCTCTGATGACTAATTCAAAAGCAATATATGCTCATTGTAGAGGTTTGAAAATACAAATAAAATAACCAATTACCTCAAAGGTTTTTGTTTTTTTTTTTTTTTTTTTTTCTTTTTTTAACAGTACTAAAGATTGAACCCATAGCTTTGCACTGGGCTGCACCTCCAGCTCCTTTTTAATTTTTTTTTTTTTTTTTTTTTTTTTTTTGCTTTTTGTAGTACAGTACTAAGGACTCGACACAGGGCCACATGCAATGACTTATTTCCCCAGCCCTTTTTACTGTTTGAGCTGCCCAGGCCGGCCTCAAACAATCCTCCTGCCTGAGCTTCTGGAGTGGCTAAGAATATGTGTGTGTGCCACCACACCCAGCTTCAAAGGCTAAGTTTTGAGGAAGAGTATATAGATATGGATCTATATAGTGTGTGTTCTCGCTACTCCACGTTACTTTTAATGCCTGAATGCTATTCCATACATAGTAATAAAATAATGTGTTTAATTTATTAGTGCTGGATGTGAAGTAATTTTCAATTATAACACAGTGAGAGTTAAACCTCTGCACACATCTATAATCTTTTCCTTAGGATAAATTGCACTGCTCCCACTCCCACCTACACACACACACACACACACACACACACACACACTCTGAAATTATCACTGAATAAATTTACTGCTCATAAAATTGTGCTATCTTACAAAGTTCCAATGAATACTCCTTTCAAAGTTGCAGGTGTTTCTGAAACAGCACAAATGACTTTCAAAAGAAATCAGATGCTACAGCAAATGGTAATTCCAAACAAACCTCAATTTTATAAATCTTACCAGTTGTAACAGAGCGAAGTTTATCTAATACACCATGAAGCCTAAAAAAAACAAAACAAAAAAATAAAGCCTCCCTTAAGATTTTATTTCAACTGCCACTCTAAATGTGACATTTTATCCAGACAAATATTGATATATGGTAGTATTTAATGTATAAAGATATTAAAATTAACTTTCTAGTTTCACATTCTAAAAGAAAACTATAAATATTACAGAAGCCAATCAAAAATCATTACTTTTCTTCACTATTTTTACCATCTAGCCTCTGCAAACAAGCCCAAATGGGGTTGGGGGTACAGCCTGCTGGCAGAGCAAGCTCTTAGCATGCACAGGCTCAGGCTCAATCCACCATCAAAGCAAAACAAAACAAACAAGGGCAAGGATATCTTCTGACTAGAAGCTGGGTCTACAAAAAATGTCACTTTGCTTCCTGAGGACTAAAGACTGAATAGAGCTTCCAGTGAGACAAAATTATGTAATAATGCTTATTATCATTAAGGGTTCAATATCAACTTTTTTTACTTCTTATTTTGACAGGGATTCAGCCTAGAGCCTTCAGCATGCTAAGTATGCATTTCACCACTCAACTTCACCCTTAGACCAGCAGTTTATATTTAACTACTTACATGGTTTTGGGCAACCTAATTTAGACAGCTTTAAAAAAAAGTTAATCTCAGAAGATGGTATAAAATTTCACTGCAACTATTATTTTCAAAATAACTGCTATAAGCAAACATAGGCCATAACCCTGCTTGCCTATTTTAGCAACTATATTCAAATTTGCCCTATAGTCCTTCCAAGAGGCTCTCCTAAACACCAGAATTCTCACTGAGAACCCTAGTCACGTGCCAATGGCATACACCAACAGACACAACTATTCCAGGGCTTCAAAAAAATCATGGTAGTCTGGGGCTGGTGTTAATAAACGTTGTTAGGAAAACAAAGTACCACAACAAAGATACCTCCACGTTAAAGGACTGAATTTGTGGCAAGGACAAGAAGTTGAATTTTAGCTTAAATTCAGATCCAGTGAATGGTATGTTTGTTTAATAAATTTCTCTAAAGTATTCCATCAAGTTATCTGATAAAGCATGTACTCGGGTCAATTTCCCATCTAAAAGAAGCTGGACTCAAATCCTAGATGATTGGTCATGAAAACTGTTTATTAAAACAAAAAATACTTGCACTCGTGAAGACTAAAGCACAATGACCACTTTTACTTGGTAAGCAATGAAATAAACTGTCCCTAAGTAGGTTAGGCCACTAAAGCCCTACGTGTGAGGACCTAACTCTAACATATAAACCCAGAGAATTCCGTGAGGAACTCCAAGGTAGCTGCACAACAGCTATAAAGTATACAATTGCCTGCTAGGACAAAGACACAGAGTTTTGAGTTAAGGAAATATGTTAATAGGCCTCATCTCTGCTTAGTGCCTATTTGTTACCCAAGTCTTCTGCCACACTACTCCATTCCTCCAACTTTCACTATAACTGGCTGCTCCTAATCGAAGAGCTCCTGTGAATGTTTCTTGCCTCTATTCTCAGCTGTATCATCATCTCCCATTCTCACTCTATCTCAAACCCGATATCAAGACCTGGCTTTCTTCAACTGAATATTACGGTTTTAGTCAGCATTCTCAACTAAAAGCCCATGTGGTTCAGAAAAGGACACTTCAAATTTTAAGAGTAATCTATTCTAAAAAAAACAAGGCTGCTTGTTTTAAAATTCCAAACTTTAAAGACAATGGAAAATTTCATTGATCAAATGAAAAGAATGAATTTTAAAAATGAGAAAAGCCAAAAACTTAAATAGAATACAAAAAAGCTTTGCCCCTTACAAGGTAACTTGGAAAAAACAAAACAGGAAATACATCCAGTCCAAACTACAGCTGGTGCTTGGTTCTGGTTGGGGAAAAGGAGTGATAGAGTTTACAAAGGAAACAAATTGCAGCTGACATACAATAGGGCCTCCTTACAGACAGACTGCAAGCACTTTTATATGTTAGCTCATTTAACCCCCCCAATTCTATAAAGAGGACTTTTACTGTTTCCATTTATGGACGGAGAAATACAGCAAGATACAGAGCCATGATTCAACCTGCACTGGCTCCAAAGGCTGTGCCCTCATCACTTACAAACTGCCTCTCCATGCTGACCTAATGACTGTCAAACTGCTTTCCAGACAAAACACCTACTCTGCAAACTGTGGTGTGAGGCATAGATATTCGGAAACATACCATACGGTGAATCGAATTGTGTTGTTCCCTAGAAACAGGGACAGGTCCTCTGTCATTTGGTCCTGACTTTTCTTGTTGGCCACCATCACCATAATGTAATCAGGAAGTTCTTCATCTATTTAAAAGGAAAAGTATATCAAACCTTTTTTATGTTTTCCTTAACATTTATATTAAAGCTGATGTGCATTAAAATATAGATGTAGCTTTAAGAACTAGTATCTCACTAGGTTAGAGCTGTGTCAGACAAAAAAGCTCAGCGCTGAATCTTCCCTCTTCTTTCCAAAAATATTCCAATTACTAGCAGAAAAAGAATTAGGGATAAATGACAAAATCCTTGGAATAAAACTACATATCTAAGAATACAGAATCAATTTTGAGTGTGTTCATCTCCTTGAAAGTGATCTTTTTATGGCCAGGCAAGCTTCTAGAAAATATGGATACTCCCCAGGACTAGTAACTTGAGTTTTGCTTAGTTTCGTTCAAAACACTCATTTTTCAAGATTGTATCTTTATCTTTCATAAAACCAGATTTTAATTATTTAGCATAATAAACTTGGAGAAACATCACATAAACTAAAATCACCCAAAACTCTACATAACTTAAAAATTTCAATCTTAAGTAGCAGTTGGAGGTGTTGCAGGCAGGGTGCTTCCCTAGTGGGTGCAATTCACCAGGCTCAATTCCAGCACAACAAAGAAAAAATACAGTTAAATAATGTCAACTAACTTCACTCACTGTTTTATCTTCACAGTGGTAACCTTAAAAGGTTATGAAGGTGAAGCCCATGACCAAGAAAAAAATTAAGGAAAAAAAACCCTCAATAAGATTAGAAGATTACAGATGGTGTAAAAGATGGTGTAATTGCAGCTACTCAGGAGCTATGGGAGAAGGACTGGAAGTTCAAGGCCAGCCTGGGCAACTAAAACACATGAACTCACATTGAAGAGGGCTGGGGATATAGCTCAGTGATAAGAGTGCATGCAAACCCCTAGGTACAATCCCCAGTACTGCCAAAATAAAAAAATAAAAATGATAAGTAAAACAAATGCTCCAATCCCTACACCCCCCAAAAAATGTAATACTTAAAATGCTTATACTTCTACACAGGCATAAAGGATCATTTGTAAAGTACCGTCAGACAACTGTATCCCAAGACAAATTTGGGTCAAAAATGCAATTAAAAAGCACAAATACATTAAGAAATCACAATCTATAAAAGGAAAAAAAGACTATTTCATAGATGCATACAATATGTGAGAAGATAAAAGGAAAAGCAGACATTTTGAGGGTGGAGTATTAATGGGTCTCACTGCTTTCTAGCAATTATAGTAAGCAAGCTGGTAGCTACTGCTGCATAGTTTCTACTACAGGCCAACAACAGTAACTCAGGTCAACAAAAAAAAAGGAGGGAATACTTTGGCAATTTTTCCCCTTCGTAACATCAATGGTACAAACAGATCATGTCACTAAGTATCAGTTTCCATTTTCTAAAATGTTGTATGAGGTCAGCAGTTGTCTGGGTATTGGGTTGGGGACTCTGAAAGGTGTAAGGGAGAAACACAAAGCAGTTCCTGAAAATTCTGGGAGCTAATGTACATGTTCATTACCTGAGTTGTTTTTTTGTTTTGTTTTTTGTTTTTGCAATACTGGAATCAAATCCAAGGTATTGTCTATCCCCTACTTATAGACTACATTTCCAGGCTAATATAGTTACTACCTTGATGGAGGTGATGATTTTCATTTTATCAATGTGTCTGATTCAGGACTGTAGATAAAGCTCAAGGGGAGAGCTCTTGCCTAGCATACAAAAAGCCCTGGGTTCAATCCCCAGTCGCACACACACACATGCACACATGCACACACACACACACACACATGACTGCAGTTTAATATATGCCAATTATATCTCAACAAAAGCTTTCAGAAATTCTCAGGTTTGGTGAGTAGACATACAAGGAAATGTAACAACTTAATGAAAATTAGCATGTCATCACAATACATTCTTTCAGAATTCTGACAGGCTTCTCAAAGTCATTTTAAATCAGCATAGCATACTGGGAAAAAACCAAAGTTGTGAAGGTTTCTGAAAGTTAATTACAATTTTAATTATAACTGCCACCTCACTGAAGTACATTTTAAACACGTGAGACATTACTACTTCCCTTAAAAATGTTTTTCATCTTTGTGTCTCAGCCAATACCTTGAAAATAAACATCAAATATTTCCTGCAGGAATGTTTTCACAACTTTAAAGAGCCAAGGATTTTCTAGGGTAAAAAGAGACCAGAGAGCTGCAAATGCAGCTCGGTAGAGATGCACTTGCTTGGCATGCACACAAGCCCAGGTTCTATCCCCAGCACAAGAGAAACTAGACATTCATCCTTTTCAGGAGGACAACTATGCAGACACACATAAATAATTATGTAGTTAATTGCAAACATAAATAGTGCATTCTATTTTATTTCAAATGCAATTGAAGGGTAACCCTGTTTACCCACTTAATTAACATTTATGAAATATCAGGCTCTCTGCTGCATCACTGGAACACAGAAAACATGAAATCTTTGCCCTTAAGAATCTTCTAAAAAAAAGAATCTTCTAAGTTGGGGGTAGAGTTCAGTGGCAGAGCAGGTAGAGGCACTGAGTTCAATTCCTCACCCCCAAAACCAAAATACATAAAATCTTCTTGCACACATTCACTAACACTGACACAGACACACAAAGAGCACTTCTGTCAAGTAGCAGTGACAAGCTGAGAAAATTGTGCTAATGTGCAATGCTCCAATCCAGTCTTTAAATCACAAAGTTTCTATCATTAAGGGTTCAAAAGGCCTAAGTTCTCTGACTTTAAATCTGCTGACTAGCTTTGAACAGCTTTATAAAACTACTTTTTGTTTGTAAAAGACTTCTACCTACCACTCCCACCCTAGTACTGTATTCAGGAACAAAGGGAACTATGTGAAAATGTTTTTAAAACTATAAAATATGGTGTTTTCAAGATTAACGCTGTTATCAAAAAACACAGTGTATGTCTTTAAAAACGTATTACAGTAAAAGACATTGTCATTAATACCCCTCAAAATACTCTCCCCCTCTTTAAACACAATTTCCCCATCATTCTTGCCATTTTCTGAAACTGGTGTGGAAGTTCATGAGTCCCTTTACAAGGTGTAATCAAAAATGCAGTGAATACTGTTGTGAAGTGCCTTTCAATGGAAAGCCAGGCTCCTAAAAATGTTACAGTATGACCACATCTACCCTGTTCACGTGGGCATATTCGACTTCTAACTCTTCCCCAAGTGAAAATGACTGGGAAAGATAAATGGTTTTCATTTGATGCAGTACATCGAGGCAGCCACACCACCACCATGAATGATCCTCACAAAAAAGGACTTCTTGAACTGCTTCAGAAAGTGGCAAGAAGCTGGGCGTTGTGGTGCACACCTGTAATCCCAGCACTTGGGAGGCTGAGGCAGGAGGATTGCTGTGAGTTCGAGACCAGCCTGGGCTGAGTAGTGAGTTCCAGGTCAGTCTCAACTACACAGTGAGACCCTGCCTCAAAAAACCAAAATTTAAAAAAAAATTTTTTAAAAAAGAAAGTGGCAAGAAGTTAGGCGTGGTAACACATGACTGTAATCCCAGCACTCAGGCAGCTGAGACAGAAGAATCACAAGTTCAAGGCCAGCCTGACTATGTAGCAAGACCCTATCTTCAAAAAAAAAAAAAAAAAAGTGGCAAGAACAGGATAAATTGCTCAAAGTGAGACTCGGTATTTTGAGGGGGATTAATGGCAATGCCTTTTACTGTAATACATTTGTTAAATTTAAGCATTCATAGTAGTTTCAATCACATCTCATATATGTCAAAATGAATTAGATGAATGAAACTTGCAACCAGATTCTTTTTTTTTTTTTTTTTTTTTTTGGTTTTTTGAGACAGGGTCTCACTATGTAGTTGAGACTGACCTGGAACTCACTATGTAGCCCAGGCTGGTCACAAACTCACAGATCCTCCTGCCTCAGCTTGCGGAGTGCTGGGATTACAGGCATGCGCCACCACCCCTGGCCTCAACCAGGTTCTTAAAGAGCTCAAAATCCTTGGTTTGCAATTTCTGACAAATGACAAAGCTATCAAATTCAAACTTATTGGTGTTTTAATTTAGATTCAACATGTTTGTGCTTTCACGCAGCAGAATTAAGAAAAGTTCTTAGGTATTCTGTGGATTTCAATTGAGCCAAAACAAACTTTAGCTGGCATCCATTAAGTTTTGAATGAAAAGAATAAATAAATCCTGATTCGGCCTCATCCTCTCGGAGCTTCAATTTTCTCACCTGTGAAGGCAGTGAGAGCAAACCTTTTAAGAGCTTTCAATGACGACAAACACGTGGCTGCAGCTCAACTGCCATAGGCTCACTGTTAATATGTTCGTCTTACAAGTCCTGAAAACAAGTAATTTGTGAAATTTGCCTATCCATAAGGCAGCAATATTCAACCTTGCTTAGCACATATTAACAAACCAAAGTATATTTGTATAAAAAATTATTTTTATTAAAACAGCTAAAGCTTGAAAGAAAATAAAAATGTGGTACAAAGAATGACCTATATTTTTATAAATCTCTTAGTAATTTGGCTTAAAAGGTAAATTCTATTTTTTGCTTCTCACTTTTTTATCCCCACTACTAGGGAATGAACCCAGGTCTTTGCACTAAGCTGTATCCCCAGCCCTTTCTCACAGTAGGACAGTGTCCAAGTCTCTCGCTAAATCACTAAGTTGCCCAAGCTGGTACCAGTGCTTTTTGCATTTAATCTTGTGTTAATGTTCCCACTGAAGAATGTGAAGAAAATCTAGTGTCAAATATACAGCTGAAAAAGGAAATACATATGGGGGGTGG